TTCCTCTGGGCCTCCAACAGGAGGCCCAGAGGAAAACTGTCCATCACCCCCAGAAATCCAGGCTCTTCCAGACTGAGATCCTACATAGATAAATAATAAATAAGTAAATAAATTATGAATAAATAAGTAAATAAATCAATCAATCAATCAATCAATCAATCAATCAATCAATCAATCAATCAATCAATCAATCAATAAATAAATAAATAAATAAATAAATAAATAAATAAATGTTGTTTTAATGACGATCGTCTTTGTAAAGTGTCCTTGAGTGGCATGAAAGGCGCTTTTAAAAAAATAAAATGTACTATTAATATTTCTTATTATCACCCATTCTGACCCCGACTGTACAAACAGAAATTAGAACAAAATGTAAAAGCTTTTTCCACTTTTGGACGTTTCTCTTCCAGCAGAAGAATGAGTCCCGCTCTTATTATCAACTTCACACATCAACATAATCACAGGCCACACAGAGAAAAGCACCACTGTTAATAGTACGCAGACCTTTGTTCCGCCCGTGTGTGGAAAAGCACACAGAGAGAAAAGCTAATATTTACCACGTATGGCCTCGGCTTTAATATTAGCCAGAGGCGCTGGTCCTAGGACTCTCACTCTGGTTTCACTGCCCGAAAGCCATTTCTACAAAAAAGGGGTGTCTGAAAACAAGATAAAAACACTAGATTTGAGGTTAAATGTACTCAAAACAAGTGAAATTATCTGTCCCTGCAGCAAGATAATTTCACTTGACAAGATTTCTTGAATCAAGATAATTAAATCTAGAAATAAGCGTGTCTACAGAGGTATTAGTAAGGCTTAAAATGAGCTGAAAATGCTGGTTTTAAGAACAGATTACTTATAATTGTACTTTATACAGCCCCAAATTAAGTGAAATATACTAAATATAAGCATAAAATGCTGGTTTTAAGATTGGATTACTTATAATTGTACTTTATACAGCCCCAAATTAAGTGAAATATACTAAATATAAGCATAAAATGTTGGTTTTAAGATCAAATTACTTGTAATTGTACTTTTTACAGCCTCAAAATAAAGTGAAATATAACTCTTAAAATAAGGAATTCACTCTTAAAACAAGATAAATTATCTAACACTTCTAAATCTAAGTTTTTTTATCTTGATAAGTATCAAATAATTTGCAGTGTAAAGGTTTATTTTTCAAGCCTGTGCTGCTTTATTTGACGAGATAGAGTAGACTCTGTCGGATTTGGAAATAAGAAAAGGAGCCATAAGAAGCTTGAAACAGAATAGTTGAATAGCCAACTGTACTGAACTCCTTTTATTTAGCATCAAGTTTTTGATTTTCTCTGTTAAATGTATTAAAACCTTCGTGTTGATTAAGATTCATACACCTCTGAAATGGTGTTTTGGAGTCAAATTTAACCAATCAACCTGCATCTTTTTCAGTCATGATCTGTCCAGTACTCCCTTTAACCTTTTAAAGCCTGATCCAAGAAAAATAGGAAGAATATTGGAATTTTTTTAGTCTGAAGTCTTTCTTTGGCCCCTGAACAACATATGAAGAAAAAAAACAGAAATTATTTTGATCAAATTAGCGTGCAATAAGTCAGAAATCTATGTTGGTGTAGTCTTCTACTGGCTGTTATCAGGTATATCTGAATGTGTACAACAGGGGTTTGAGCAAAGCTTTTACCACTGAATGATGCAGAAAGTCTCACATCCAAAAGAAACCCGATCAGATATGACACATTTGGCTTTATAGGGTTAAATGTTCCTTTTGAATTTCAGGATGAGAAGTAGGGACTAATCCTTGTGAATAGAAATGTGCATCACTAGACTGTAATGAAAGCCAAACTCTGAGCTTTTTACAGACTGGATATCTCTGGAAATATTATGTTTGGAGGAGACTACATTTTATCCATCTCACTGCCTAACTTCAGTACGTTTTAAGGGGGATAGTGCACGCAATAACAATGATTTCCAGTCCCTGCAGCAGGTATTTGGTTCTTAATTCCCCCTCTGTGCTTCTGATCCAGCAGAGGAAACGATCTGGGCCATTTCTGTCCTCACGGCCCAGATAAACGAGGAAAGAAAGAACTCCAGACGAGATCTTGTCCAAGCATTCTGCCTGAACCCTTGTGTGGTGTTCATATTGTTGTTACTCAGCCAGTGTTTGTGGGTCTGATGGACAAAGAATGCAACGATCTATAACTTTAACCTCCTGAGGCCTGACTTTTATTCGGAGTGCATAACTTGCATTCTTCAAAATTTATGACATTAGTAGGACTCTATCAGTTTAAAAACTAGACTTTGTCATGGTACAGGTAGTTTTTCTTCGTATAGGCTCAGTGGGTTTATCTTCATA